GGGAAGAGCCTTCTCGCAGCGATGGCTCAATACAAGCCTCCCCTGCCTTCCCCACTTCGCCTGCCCGGCTCCCAGAAAGCAGCTGCAGCTGGCTGAGGCTGAACGTTTTTCTATCTCCTCAAGCCTGTAACAACACCTCAGTAAGGAAGTTTTTAGAGCTGCCAAGATTTCCGAACAGCCTTTGAACCGTCTAGCTTTGTGCTGCCTACCCAGTTACTCAGTTTAAGGACCCACACTCAGATTCTGTCTTAAACCACATCAAACTCCAAGAGTTGCAGGAGGACATGACTTGCACAAAGTATTCTGTAACCTTCCTGAAACAGAGGCATGGGACACGCACCTTACCCTTGGCTCTGGGAGTGCTGGGGGAATCGGTCTAAGTCTCAGTAGAGGTAGGAGCTATGCACATGGTATATTAAGACAGACCCACCGCAGGAGGGTCAGAGCTAGCCATCTATGTAAGCTCAGGGCTCCCAGCTGGGAGATGCTGCCGTGGCAGACTTGGAGCTACCAAAGCCAGCCTTCTGCAAGAGGCAGGTACCGTGGGGGACTGCAGCACGGCCAGCCCCCAAAACTAAACTAACTATTTTCTCTGTACTGCAAGCTTCCCATGCTTGCTTCAAAAAGCAACCCCAGACAGGGATCTCTGCTCTAGCTCATTCATCAAACCCAGCACCCCACTGACCAGCCTGCTTCCAGGCACGGCCCAGGGCACGGCAACAGACCCCCGGGCTCCGGCTGCCCCCAGCTGCCTGCCCGCTCCCGAGCCCTCTGGTTCTCCACACATGGCACTGGACAAACGAGACCAGGCCTCTTACACACAGTGAGGCTGCTGGAGAACTAACTCCAACCCTTTCACTCTTAACTGTATACTTCTCCATAAAATCTATAATATATAGCTCTATAGGACCAATTATAATATATTACAGTGAATATATTATAGGCTAGAAATACTCTCTTCTTTTCCCTACTTCAATCACATTATAAATCCAATTTTGCATACAGATTAATCCTAGAAGTTATTGCCTTGAATTTTTTAATTAAAATTCACAGAATAAAGCTTAAATAGTTTTCACAGAGACTCATTATATTAGTGTTTTACATAAAAAGGATAAAAGTTACCAAATGAGAAGAGCAGCCATTTCAGAAACTATAAATAATTATATTTTTGAAAAAAACAAAATCAAATCCTAAAAAAGTTACGGGAAAACCATAAATATCTTTACCCTCTACAGTAGCTGCTATAGAACTAGAAGAAACATGTAACACACTGTAGCTAACTGCTTCAGTTCAGAATATGAATCATATAAAACAAACATCTCCAGAGAAATGCCTGGCCAAAGGAAACACAAAGGGATTGAAAAAATAAATCTGAGGAAATTAAAAAAAGTAGATTTTTTTTTTATTATTTCAAAACAATTTCTACAAACTTTATATAAACATTAGGTTATTTTCTTTAAAAATTTGTTATAAAAAGATCCTACAAGCAATCGTTAAAAAAGGTAAAGAGACTGAAGGCAAGGAAAGGGTGTCATCATAGCCAAACAAAACTGGCTGTCCTGATTTCATGGACTAATGACCCTTGCCCAGGGCAACAGGAAGAGACAAATCTCCTGGGGAAGACATTCCCATAGGCCCTTTATGGCAACCAGGGATTTTGAGCCTCTATGGACCTTTTAGTCCCTGAAAAGGCAACATCATCTGTAGTGTAAGAGATTCATAAATAATTCTCCACAAAAATGCTTCACACATCAACAGCCTGCTGCAAGACATCTATCAGCAAGGTTTATAAAAAAGCCATCTTCTATAGAAGCAGCCAATCTGAGCACAGCACACTGGATGCAAACACATGGTGTTTGCTTCTGTACAGTCTGTTTCATGTTTATATACCCTCTACGAAACCAAGCAGAGAATTTGGCATCTTTATTCTTTTTACACTATCTTTAGGAAAATACACTGAGGTGTTTTTTTTTCAGACTCTTTGTATTTCATTGGGCCCTTGTTAGCTGAGCAGGATGGGAAGGGTCACGTAGGAAGTTTGTTTTTTCTCTAAGTCACTTTGAAATTCAATCCAAAAAGAGCATTTGTTCAGCACATCTCATCTGAGGGCACAGCGTTTCCATACAGTCTGTTTGTCCCTTGATGGGCACAAGTTGCTGCTGAACTTTAAGCATAGAACTCATTTGTAGGGGCTTTCTTGTAGATTGGTTTCTTCCCAAGGTCATAACTGCCTTCATCCTTTTTCTTCATGCGATAGACTAAGAGGAGGATTAGGAAGATGGCAAACAGGAGCCCCACTGCTCCTCCTGCAATGAGAGCTGGGAAGAAAAAGAAGAGCACAGAGTAAGGCTAAACTCCTGGACAACTCCAAACCATCAGCTGCATCTTAAAACCTGCTTCAGGAGCACCAGCCCCAGAACTGCCTCCAGAGTCAGTGCCCGTCACCATACATGCTGGCATTTGCAGCGACACCACATGTTACTGGGAAAGGATAGAAACTGCTTTCAACCCAACCACAGAATAATTACATGTTCCATGTTAATCAGTTTGTGTTAATCTTCTAGTTTAGTGCAAGAAAAAAAAAGTTAAAAACCATCCTCCTTTTGTGGAGACAAAAGAAAAAACCCATTCAAAAAAGCCCCACCACAACCCACAAACAGCATCAACTCCAGGAAAATGGTATAGCTCCTATTTGAATGTTTTGTTAACTACTTGTATGAGCACACTCTGGGGACTGTCTTTCAATTAAACAGCAACACCACCTCACACACACACACACACACCCCCCTCCAAAAAACACCCCAACAACCAAAAACCACAAACCCACAGAAAACCACCAATATTTTCCTTTCTCCTCACACCAAGGGTGGCCACAAGACTTCAGTGAAGTTTACCCTTCACTGTGACACCTATTCATTGCATCAGCTTCTCCGTTAAAGCTTCTCCGCTTTGCAATTCACTCTTCCAAGTCACTCCTCCCACCAGGAGGATAGCTGCAGATCAGCAGATGTGCCAAGGTTTGTACTCAAGACCATCAGGCCAAGTGCTTGATGAAGCATGCCTTGAGACAGACCTGTCCCACATGTTGAGGGGAAGCCAGTCACTTGGGTTTGCTCTAGACAGAGGTACTTAAGATTCACAACAGTTGACTAAGTGATCAGATCCCTTAGAGGGGTTGTTTGGTTCCTGGCAAGCCTCAGAAAAGGCAGGACTTAGGCAGAGGTTAGAAGGGAAACGCCTGCATTTGATATGAAAGCCTATGATGTCACCGATTTATGGCTAGATATGCCTCTTGTTGAGGTAGTATCTGGATGCAGAGCAGCTGCCACATGACTTGTGTGGCACTTAAGCCAACAGTCAGCTGGCAGGCTCAAAATCAAGCTGTTTACTACCCCAGCAAGGCAAGCAGTAGGCTCTTCTGCTGTTTAAGGACCAGAAGGCAGAAGTGACCCTGCTACAGGCAGTCACAGAAGTAATGCATCTCTCATTGCCAGCAGAGAACAGCTCTCCAGAGAAACAGGGAACAATACAAGTCATTTTTATTTACAGTATTAATGATTTATCAGGACAAGTATTACCTGTAAGGACTTCTGTTCTTTCAAAGATGCTGCTGTTGGCTGTGCTTGCCATGGAGATCTTGTTGGACAGGTTCTCTTCAACAGGTACAGCTTTGTCTGGAATGATTTCATTGTCCACCACTGTGTTTTTCTTCTCACCTTCTATCTTTCTCTCAGTATCGCCAGGGATATAGTTGTCAGATATCTACAGAATATAGACAAACCACACCCATCAGTAAAGTAGCACCCAGCCTACCTACAATTGAAAGTAGGAAGGTGTGCAGGGAAAAGAAAGTTTGCTTAGTGCATTATGAAGTACACTGTTCCTGCTCATGCAGGCAGATTCCTCTTGATGCCATGTCTTGCAGGGGGAAGGCTATTCAGAAAGCTTCACAGACAGACCAGAGTAGCTACATGTGGCTTAAAACGTGCAGAGGCAATACCTACCAAAGGAGTATCCATGGTGGTCAGATACATGGCATCTTCAGAGTCTGAGTAGTCTGCAGAAAGGGGAAAAAAATATAAGTAGAAGAGGACACTAAGTTTTCCTCTTACTACACATCATTTTTCCAGAACTCAAACACTTCCCGCAATACCAGCAACTGCGGTCAAACCCGGACTCTTGTTTTCTGCTGATTACAATTTCTTCTTATCTACTAGTATTTTCACCACTTCATGGTTTTGATTGCACAAGCCCATGAGATGTAATCTTAAAACCAACACCCCTCACATGGGAGGGGTCTTCAGTGGGATCCGTTGGTCCCTGCTTACAGATCCTCAGGAGCTGCCCTGCAGAGCAGGTCTGCTACAGCTTGCTAAACTAATGCCAATGGAGGGCAATGCTCTCACCACCCATCCCTAAAGGATAGTTCACCAACCCTCTAGTTACCAGATCTGCCCAAACATGTCAGGCACCGATTTCAGCACTTGTTCTTTCCTTTTAGAGAACAAATGTTCACATAAAGGGGACATGGAACTACAGAAACTGGTTTGGGCAGGGAGCTTTGCATGTCACAGAGTTCAACAGAACACCAAGTTAGTCCTTTACCTTGTTTGGCCTCAGCTGAGACACAAACTTTAAGCCTTTTAACACTGCCTCAGCATCAGATTTTTCATTTTTAATTATTATTTTTAAGTTTCTCAGTTCTTTGGAGTTCAACAGGAAAGAGATCCAGCCAGTGCAATGCCTTTTCACTTGCAGTAAGACAAGCTTTGCCGGACTCCATCTGTCCTCCCAAGTGATTCAACATCACAGTACAACCATTTTCACTGCTCTTATCTGTGAGTGACTACGATTCACACTAATTTCTCATCTACACCTGACACTGCAGTTCCCCCTGGAGCTCTGGCCGTGCACTTAGCCCATCACTCACAGGCTGGTGCTGGAAGAAATTTCACAGCATCAACTGAGGGAGATCCATTTCTCCCCCTCCCTACTTACCTCCAGACCCGGATGCATCATCTATATCTAACCCATCAGAAGTAACATGAGGCCTAAATTCGCCAATGTCTTCATCATCTGGCAAGTCTCCAGAGGCAGGGTAGTCAAGCCATCGGGCGTCCATCGTCTCAGTTTCTCTCACCTGTAAATGGGGGTGGAGAAGCGTTAAGTATCAGGCAACTCCTCAAAAACATTTCATAAAAGGTCAGGAGTTCAGAGCCTGTGGTCAGCACATTGCTTCCATCAGAAGAATATTAAATGCTGAACTTCCTCTCTACCAAAAGCATTATCTTCATCAGCCTGGAAATAGCTGAATTCCCCTAGAATTTCTCAGAACAGAAGTGAGCCAGCCTGGGAGGGGAATTTCCTGAGGGCTACAGATTCAGGTTTACTTGAACCCACAGGGTAAAAATAACACCACAGGATCTTGGTCAGGGGTTTGTAGCAAAAGCATTTGGAAAAGCAATACCTTCAGTCTGTGATAAGGGGGGATTTGGAAGTACTTGCTGTTCCCAGAGAATAAGCGTAGCACCTGTAGTTCAGTTTTTAGCACAGCACCAAAGCCTCACGCCAAGGCAATTTGTTGCCACTTGTATTGAGAACAAACCTATTTTATCACCCAAGGGTGAAAAACTGGTATGTCAGTTCAGCTGAACTGCAGTGCAATATAGCTCAATGTTCAAGAGCACTTGCTATCGGTAATGACTTGCTTGAAGGAAGAGCTTCCCCTGCCTCACCTCTTTAAACACACGTAAACAAACAAGTCAGTAAAATGAAGTCCAGGATCCTATAGCCAGATGACTGCACTTACAAACACATTAGCAAAATGGCAGAAGAGCCTCCCTGAGAATAAGCTGTTTGGCCACAATGGCAATTTACACACCAGAGCTCGTTTGCACTTGGACCTTCAAGGAGTCACAAGCCCTCACCAAGGTTATGCCATTTTTCCAGAACTATTTCTCCTCATGCCACAGCCCTGGGGCCAGTCACGGTGAGGGTACCACAGGTATGAGCTCTTGGGTTGCTCAACACCAGCCCACAGATTCCAGCAGCTCCAGATGCTTCCACAGCCATGAAGTCATCACATGGTGGGGGACTTGACCCCTTCCCCTATGGCCAGAAGCACAATGTAGATGGATGGGCCCCATAGCCAGGGGCTAAGCTGTCAACATTTTTTTCATGCTGTCCCCACAGCAGTCTTTCTGGAAAGTTTTTCTGAAGGTCTATCTACCCAGGAGAGCATTTTTAAAACATCCCTTTACTCCACAGTCCTGCATATCTGAGGGCTCTTCTTGATGTACAGGTTTTCCACAAGCTACACCCTCACAGGGGGTGAAGATCAGAGATTGGTGAAAGCTGGGTGGCACCACCTGAGCCCCAGAACTTGCTGCTTCATCAGGGCAGCAGTGAGAGCCTGGGCAGCTGGGATCAGCCTTTCTGCTCGCCCAGGCAAGGCCCATCCTACAGCCCAGTGGTGACACCAGCTGATGAATTACATCCGCTATTGATCTCAGAAGTGAAGGCCAACAATCAGCCAGAAGCCACGTGTCAGCTTCCTCTGCCCACAGCCCTGCTCCAGTCCAGATTTCCCCACCATTAGCATACTGGTTTTGCCACAAACAAGGCCTTGTGGTCAGGACAAGATGTTTCTCATTTTGCATAAGGAACAGTGGCTACTAGATGTGCTTTTCATTAGCTTATTGAGGCATCTTTGGTCTCCCTGGCAACTCTGCTGGAGGATAACCAAACGAACAGCCTAGCATGAAGTGCTGAGGCCAGCTCTCCTTCTAGACCCTCTGTCTCTGCTCTGCCCAAGCCTGGCAGTAGGTGATGGGAAGGGGGTTGGGGAGGAAGGCCAGTTGGGATGAAATCCCCTCCCGGCCTGGAACCAGGCATTCCTAACGATATGGATCACTCGCTCCAAGGCAAATTCATTTCAAGATATGTGAAACTCCACCAAAGCCAGACCTGCAATGGAAACTGCTGCCAGCATGCAGTAGCTGTTCCCAGAACAGCTTCTGGCCATTTCATCACAGGGCAGGAAGAGCCCAATTCTGCCTAAGCTAGGGTACCAGGGCTGGGGGGCACATTCGCTGCAGATCCGTGTAACCCGGCTGCTGCGCCAGGGCAGATCAATGCTGGCAAGAGCCCTGTGCGGAGCCACACCCCTGTGCCAGCTCATGCCGTACTTCATTATGAATCATGGCCAGCTAATGTCCTAATGAGGGCAGCTCAAGAAAACCTGCGTTTAAGCCGCCGAGTGGCTGGACAGCAGGCTGGCCTTATCAGATCAGCCCAGCCGTGAGCAAAGCAGTGGCAGCCAGCCACAGTGATTAGTACATACTGTGGAACGCACCAGGTTTAGCTATCAGAAAACCCTATTTAAATCAGGACAGACAGTGTTTACAAGCCAGAGGACATAACAAGGAAATTACTGACTCACAAGCGTAAATAAGATTATATGGGAGCGTTCCCTGAACTCACTCTGCATCATCCTCTTGGGCAAGGACTGGGAAGTTCCTGGAAGCCACGAGAGCTTCTCAGAACCATACAGGAAAACTTTTCTTGGGGACAGCAAGTCTCATTTTACAGATTCATCTGCCAGGGAAGTTAAAGGGCTGCAGGCCATCTCTATACTTGCCCTCCAGGTTTCAAGACATGTTCTCCTAGGGAGCAAGCTCCTACTGGGAGCTGGAGCATGGGCAGCCTGGGAAGAGTTAATACTGGACTGCTCACAGGGCAGGTCTGGAGCAGGCACATTCCTCACATACACACCTTTAAGAGGGCACACAGGCACTTTCACAGAATTAAAAGCAAGGGCTTTAGGCTTCCTAAGTACCACATAAAGAGCTCCCTGGAGCACTGCTTAAAGAATGCATCCCTTTCCAAGAGGATTCAGTCCTCCCTACAGCTCCACTGTAGGTGAAGAGGCTCCACGGAAGATGCCTGTGTTTCCTCTCAGCTGGCAGGCTGCAGCCAAGAGGAAAAAGCCAGGAGGCTGCTGCAGGACAATGGGCAGCCCTTGCCAAATCGTCTCTGGCCACATTCAGCTTAACACCTTCTGTAACTGCCAACTGGAGAAGGGCACTAGCACTGCTCGGAGTCTGCTTTCCACCACCTGTTATCCCAGCACTGGAGCCAGGCCAGGGACTTGCTGGGAGAGTTGGACTGGGCGGCTACACAGCCCCACCTCGCCTTGGCAGCTGAAGTCGAGCCCTGCTATTAATATGCTCCTCTCTAGGAGAGGTCTGTATGGAAATCAACCTCTTCTGCAGGGGGTCTAGTTCCAGGGTTTCTTCCTCATATTAAGCAGCTTTATCCCCAGTAAGCACCAAGGGAGATTAACCAAAGAGCTGGGGAGCAGAAGCTTTTCCTGACTGCCAGTGGCAAAAAAAAAAAAGTTTATTCCCTGCCAGACAACCAGCACGTCAGGCACGTGAACTATGAGCGTCATTCCTGGAAAAGCCGGGCACAGAGGTCTCGTGTTTAAGCCTAAGACAGGCTGCACTGCTGGATGAAGCCAGACACTGTTTGCTCAGTTCAGACACAGGAATCGCACCCCAGGCAGGGGCTTGCAGCCCTGCTGTGCTCCATCCCTAGCCCACCCACTCCACTCCATTTCATGCTTCTAGGGCTTTCACTTACAGGTCCAGCATACCACTAGCCCCTTCTCAAAGCAAGAACAGTTATTTGTTGAGGCACCAAGCAAAGTTTCTGTCCAATGCGTGTATTTCCCCAGCCACTGGCTAGTTCTGGGAAATAACAAAACCAGGCAGGTTGCCTGCCCCAGCCCACACATCCTCACCACAGCCTTTGCAAACCCTTTCAAAAAAACCCCAAATGGTGTTTTGGGGCAGAGACAAAGTTTTCCAGACATGGAACTGGCTTTTATGGCTGTCCCTTGTCCCTGCTCAAACACACAAGAGTTCATCAAAAGCTTCTTTGAAGGGTCACAGCCAACAAGCTGTGGAGGGAGTCAGACCTGCAGAGACTTGGGCATCCAAAGCACAGGGAGCTCTTTATCAAGTTTATAACTTTGGCATGGAGACCCAACACTCGTTCCTGCCCCTATGTCTCCCTCCCCAGCACTGTGTACACAAATCTAGGAGTAAACAGGAACAAGGTGAAAGTCAATCTTTCCTAGACAAAAGCACATGGAGCTTGGCCAGCCTGGGAGGTGGCAGAAGAGAGGGAAGAGGTGCAGACATATTAACTCTTTGTAGGCAGCATGAACAGATACAATGCACATCTAGATCATCATAACAAGAAAGGGCTCCTGGCCTCACAGCCTGCTTATTAAGAGATCATTCTTGCAAAACCACCAGCCTGGCCCTTGCACTGTCCTGCATCATGAACCAAAGAGCACGAGATCCAAGGGGCCCTTTCCACTGCAAGGATGCAAAACTCTGTAAACCACTAAGCCCAAGACAGGGAATTTCCATAGAGTTCACTTCCACCAAGCTCTTGCACAAGCACACAAATCAGGAAGGCTTTAAAGCTCACACAAAGCATGCAAAGGAGCAAGGGTTAGGAGCTTGCCTCACCCCCTCGAAGTATGCCAGCCCCCCAAAAGCAGGAAAGCAGAGGAGCCACGCAGCGCTGGAAACAGGCCGGCTCAGATCAGTGCAAGTCAGCCAAGTAGAGCTGACCTCCAAAGGAGGGAGGCATGCAGCAAGGTAATAGGCAAAGACAGCTCAGCTCTATCTTCCCATCTTAATAAGCATCAGAAGAAAGTTATTGGAAATGACATGAGCTTCCAGTAGAGGCAGACCCTGCCAGACTATTAAGGGAAAGGTCTATATTTCCCTTCTAAACACCCTTTACTTGCTTCCCCTCTCTCCATGCTCCAGCTCTGTGTAGGGAAGAAAAAAAATTCACTTTTGTCCTGAGAGCAAAGCAAATATCAGTATTTCAATCTATGTCACACCTAACTCCTTCAACACATCATCCACAGTACAGAAAAAAAAAAAAAAATCCACTTGTGCTAACTCCTTGTGCCCACACTTGGAGGGTACCATTTTACCTCTCATTCCTGGTCAGTCTGTCCCACATAATTCTCAGCACACATGGCCTGCACTGGCCTCTGTGCCAAGGGACAGAAGTTAAGCTGCTCCCATCACATGTGTCTACTCAGTTGAATGACAGGCTCACCCCAAGGCTTCCAGACATGG